CCTTTCCCTTTGGTTTTGGTGCTAAGTTGCCAGGAGTGTAGGTTAAAAGGCTATCGGCCAATCTACTTTATGATGAAAAATGAAAAGCATTGGGGTGGCTTTTTTAGAGAAGGAAAGGTACCATGGTCATTATCATTATGTGGGAAAATGCTTTTTTGAAGATAACTGGTGCAATTATTAGGGTTTGTGTGCCCATGCTAAACAGTGGAGGAAACAGAGAGATTAAATGTATTGTATTAAACAGTAAAGCAAATTTCCTACTAATAAGGCCAGTGGAGCCTGGAGCAGAGGGAGGTGGCTAAGAGAGGCTGCAGTGAGAGAGGGTGTGCAGGAATGGTTTTGTGTGTTAAATAGCTGAAATGACAGAAAAAGATCTGCCTTGTCTAGAGATTTGGTAGTGGGCTAGGGGTGCAGACGCTCATTTCAACCATATTTTTTTGTAATCCGACAGTACTAGCAGTTTTAGGTCCCACTGAAACCTGAGAATGTAAAATTTCTTATGCTGAGGACTGAGCTAAATTAAAAGTTCATTTCTGAACAGATGTGCAAATGCAAGTGCTTGCTATGGTGATGTTTGCTGTTGAAACACTGTTTTATGTTGCTGAGTCATGTTTGTTTTTTAATCTACTGTACCTTCAGTACAGTAGTGTCTCTGTAGCTTGTGAAAATTCATTCTGTGTTTCCTTTCTGTATGGTATCTCTCATACAAATTTATGTAATGAACAAATAACTGTTGGAGTCTATAATGTTAACAGTTCAGCTGGATATCCCCGAACTGTAGATCCAGGGACACTGGGCTACTAAGTGCTATTGGCTGCAACCTTTCCCCTTGAAGAACTATAGTAACAAATGAACTCATATGATAGATGTTTGAAATTACATTCTCTGTCCAGAAGAAATATTTTAATAGGGGCACAAAACTTTCCTTTTAATGTCAGAGACATTTATTTTGATTTCTCTGTTTCTAGATGAAGGGGACATGTGCAACACGCCATTTTAAAAATCTTTTAAAATCTTTTTCTTCCCCCATCTTTTAATATCTATATTTAAAAACAAACAAACAAAATTTATGGAAACATGGAATGGTTGCACAATGTTAGCTACTATCCAGATATTGAACCTATTTGAACCCAGTACAATTTATGACAGTAGTTGATTATGTAATCAGGGTTTTTCTTCCCATTTAAACTAATGCTTGCAAATGTAGATTAATAAAGCAGTTATTGAAGTGTTCTTTGGTGAAAACAAGGAGTTAAAAAAAAGTACGGCCTAAAAATTAAAATTTACTGAAATTAAATAGAGCCCTAAAAGAAGTTAACAATAGCAGGAGGTAGCTGCTGTCTGTGTCTCATGGATGTAATTGTTTTGACCTCACATAAACTGTTTTTCTTGTACCAGTAGCATCTTTTTGGTCACAGAGCAGCTTCCCTGTTGGCCACGCAGCCCTGCAGTCACTCCCAAATACCCTTTCAATATTCTGGAGCGTTTGTGCTAGGGCAAACATTCTGTGTAGTCCTGGCCTCCCAGTCTCGTTTACTCTGCTGGGTTTTACTCCTCGGGCGAGTGTTGTTTATGGAGCAGCCGATTCGGCAGAGCCTCCCCGCCGGGGTCAGGCGGCCCTGGGGCAGCGTGGGGATGAGCTGAGCAGGCGAAGGGGCTTTCCCAGAGAGCTCCCTCAGCACGGCACCGAGAGCGCGGTGCAGCAGGGTCTGCTCCCAGCCAGGGAGCCTGAAAACATTTCCCCAGGCGCCTCATTCACAGCTCTGGTTGAAATAAATAGGGCAGGAGATCTTTCTCCTTTTTAATGCCTTTACAAAAAACTAGCTCGGGTGGGAAGAACCAATGGGTGGCGCTCACGCCGCCGCTGACAGGAGTGGCACGGAGCAGGAGGACAAGTGGAACCATGATGTTTACTGAAAAATCCTTTCCTTAGGATTTTTTCTCATGAGAAACTGAGAGGCCTCAGGAACAAAGTGTAAACAATGGTTATCTGGTGCTGTGGAATGCAACAGGTGCGTCTGTGATTGGTCTCATGTGGTTGTTTCTAATTAATAACCAATCACAGTCAGCTGGCTCAGACTCTCTGAGACACAAGCTTTTGTTATCATTCCTTCCTTTTCTATTCTTAGCTAGCCTTCTGATAAAATAACTTCTTCTATTCTTTTAGTATAGTTTTATTATAATATATATCATAAAATAATAAATCAAGCTTTCTGAAACATGGAGTCAGGTTCTTGTACTCTTCCCTCAATTCTTGGACCTCTGTAAACATGGTCACAGAAAAGTGCAGCTTTGTCCACTGGCTTGTGGGCAGAGCTGGGGATTCCGTCCTCACAACAGCATCAGGAGGCTCCCAGTTTTCCAGTTTGACATTTGAGACCCTTTGTCCAGCTGACATCTTTGAGGTTAGGGTGAGGGGTAAAAAAGGTCTTAGCGGATACTGGATTCTCTTCCTCACACCTAGACATCACTTTAATCCGTCAATTCCTTGTTAGCTCATTGTTTTTAGGGGTTTTTTTTAGGTTTGATGAAGGGTTTCTCCCATTGCATGCTGGCTCCAATGTCATTTGCATGCCAACTCCGATGTCCCCTCCTCGTCACTTCCAGGAAGCAGCAGGATGCCGCTCGACAAAAGGGGGAATTTTTAACCATCAACAACAGGTAGTTAACGAAAACGACAGGTGATTATAACAACAAACAGTTAGAACTCCACCCTGGCAGCAAACGGCCCAACCTGTGAACTCTGCAATTTTTTTTAAAAAACGTGCAGCTTTTCTCCTCCTAGCACTGGTGTTCCTCCCCAGCCCAGCGCAGTGTTGGATGCAGGCAGTTCTTTGAGCCTCATGCCGCTGTAGTTGCACGTGTCTCCCCGGTGAGCTGCCCCGAGCAGGGAGCACGGCTTCCCTGCGCCTGGAGCGAGTGCATGCCCGGCAGGTGGGACTGCTGCTGCACTTGGCCTTGCTCGTGTGCTCGGGTCCCCTGGGCTCCTTCAGGCTTCACAGGCTACAGAGCTGATAGCAAGGGGTGTTGCATTACAGTGATTTCTGCAAAGATCGCTCTGCAAAATTTAACTGTCAGGCAACAAAATCAATTATTTGGCCTTCTGTAATTTTTTTTTGTATGTAAATAGCTATACCAAAAAGAAAACTACTCTTGTTTCTATTATGAGAATATGATTATTAATTTACTAAGAAAATATAATAACTAGATGGTTTGAAAGCAAGGTAACAGAATAAAGATTTATATGTGTGTGCCTGCACCTCTTTTCTCTGGTACTTATAAGATGGCTGCAAGTTTCATTGTATGTCACAAACTAGTTAAATTCCTTTAACAGAAGCCAGTTCTTTTGTTAAAAAAACAAAACAAAACAAAAAAACACACCCAAGAAAATGTAATCCAAGAAGTCCTTTTAGATTGAGGTATTGGAATTGTTTAGAAGTTTTGTTCGGTCTGCTTGTACTTGTGATACAAGAAAGCAGATTTTCTAGTTTCCTTCTCCCCAAGGTTTTCTAGTTTAACTTCAAATAGTGTTTGTGTCTGGAGCAAGGGCATTACCAGAGCCAAAGATGTGGTATTTACCATTGTCAGCCAGATTTGCTTTCAAAAAGAAAGCTTTATGAAAATATGTAGCTTCTTTAACTAAAACTATAAATTATTGCATTCTTCAATATATAAACTAACCACCCTGAGATTTAGGGAGATTTTTCTTCTAACAAATAACTGGCTTTTTTATGAATAACCTGTGTTTTCATGTTTTTGTCTTGCATATGTATGCCAGTGTCTTGAGCTTCAGAAAGCTTTGGAAAAATGCTCCCCAGCTGGGCTAGCTGTGTCTTCTTGGGCAGCACTGTGGCTTCAGAGACAAAGCTTTATAGAATGTCTTTTTCCCTTCTTTTAGAGATCTAATTTCCATGGCAGACTGATGCAAAGATGCCTGGGTTGGGTATTGAATTCTGTATTTGTTTTTACCGACTACCCTTTCCTACTGTTTTCAGCCTTCTCACTTCTTCAAGAAAAAGTTGTATTACTATATTCTAGTAGAACAAAGCCAAGGCAGGAGTTTTGCTTTTTATGCAAGTGGTGACTGCTCTGAATATGCCCACTACTCTTTATGAGGCCCATCCAGCTGGCAGCCTGTGGGCCACTTCTCTTGCTCAGAACAATTCTGGCCAGCTCCCACATGAACATGATTGTATCCTATCGTGCCTGTGCATAACCATGCAAGCTGCCTCTCTGCTCCTTTATTTCTGGAATGTGGCACAACGTGTCTGCCTCTGGAGATGTGCCTATAGTGACATTTAAACAGAGATACTGCACTATAGCTTAGCCTTCAGAAAGATAAATCATTCCACAGTCACACCACTGTTTTTGCCCTCTGAAAAGAAATGCTAGAAATGCCTTCAAATGCCAAGGCTCTTCTTTTTCTTTTCCTTTTTTTCTGTTTTTCTTTTTTTTATGGTAAGAGATCTTAAAAATAGCTTAACAACTGGTGTGCTGTGTTTCATAAAAATACTCAGATAAAATGTTGGCAAAATCACCTTCTAGACTGGAAGAAAGTGTATGAGTTACCTATGTTTAAAATATTACACATGTTAAATAAACGTGTGTTAGCAAGCAAACACTAGATACCTTATATTTCTCTTATGTATCATTTGTTTGGTTTCTGTTTGCAAAGCGTTTCATGATTCATTACTTTCATGATACTGTAATTTTATGTTGTATGCTGCCACTGGAATACTATACAAAAATGACAGCTATAAATTATTTGAATCCTGACAAATGTACTGATGGTAACTATTTCAGAGTAAGACTGGGAGATAATTTTTTTGTTTAATTCGGAAATTGTTTATGTTTTAAATAAGTGATATATGCTACAATATAGAAGTATATTCTATAATTTTTACTTTAAATGGCTATTATTATACTTGTATTTATATGAGTCTGATATTTATGAGGTTTATGATAACAAATCCATTGTTTTATTTTTCCATGAACTGCAGAAACTATGCCTGTTCCAGACCAGCCCTCGTCTTCTGACAAGACAAGTTCCCTTAGTCCTGTGTTGAACACATCCAATGGCGATGGCTCCGAAACTGAGACAACCTCTGCCATTCTAGCTTCAGTCAAAGAACAGGTAGGCAAGTGATGCATCTGTAGGCTGGAAAACTGGAAAACAATAGTATGATTTACTGGGTTTTTTTTGTTTGTTTTTTTTTTTTTTTTAAACGTTTCATAGCTGGTATCTGAATAATTTAGTTCACAAATGCATATTGCAAAGAATGTGAACCATTTCTTCATGCTTTAGTATACTTCTGGAAGCTTTCCTACAGTAAGTTTAACATAATTTAATTGAATTGCTCATTTTATTCTCCATTTTCACACTTTACTGTGGATGGTGGTTTTCTGATGTCTCTCCTTTTATTGTTGGCATCTGCATGTGGAGTTACAGTATGCTGGCATGTAAGAGTTATAGACAAATGAATTGTGGATAAGGTGTGTTATTGTAGAGTTTTTTAAGGATTAGTAAGAGCCCTAGGATTTTAAAATTCATATACATGTTTTTGGGAGTTTTGTGTAAAACCTAATGTGAGATTGTATCACGGCAAAACTGGGTATAGATAGAGACACTCAGTTTTGAAAAAATATTAGAAACTTTCAAGGAAAATGTCTTCAGTGTGATGGTCTGCTTGATGCTAGTAAGACAGGTTTGACATTTTAATGTAAATTTTTGTGGGCTGAATGTCAGAGATTTTGCTTTTAATGCCTTTTTGTACTTTAGGAGATGGTTAATATTTCAGTTAATGCAAACAACTGGTCTCTGTCACTGTCTCCTTTGTTTTGACACATCAACAGGAATTCCAAGGACAGACATTTAAATCAGCTGCTTTTAGGCAGTTTTCTCCTTGCTGAAGGTGTTTAAATTGTTTCTTCCTTTATCAGGTACTGATCTTTCCCTGCCCAAGACATTGACTTGTTCTTGATTTAAATTAATGCATGAGTTCAGCTTATGATATCTCTCAGCCCTGGAATAATAGCTCTTGAGTTTTAGAGATCTTATAAAAATCATAATATCTCTCTTCCTTGGTTTTTTTTGGTGTATGCCAGTTCTCTCTTTTGGGTGGTAGAGGTTAGTCATATTTTCTGTTCTGAAAAGAGGAGTGCAAAAATGAAATGTTATAATGTGGAGCTTTGTCTAGAGATTTGTGGCACGTCATTGGAATTGAAAATTGCCCATGGTTTAGATGTTTGTATTCTCTTCCATGTCAATGATATTTCTTGGGTGTGTGCCAGTGTTTCAGCCTGTGTCACTGCATTATTTTGTAGAAAAATACCTGCCTTTCTTTCTGACTCTTTGATAGTGAAAAAGTGTACAGGGAGATTACATAGATAGAAGCTATATCTGTGTGTTGGAATGTGAATCACAGTATGGAATAGTGACAAGAACTTCTCTGTTGTTTGGTGTTGTGATTTTCATTAGTTTATACCTGGTTATGTGTTTTACAAATGAACCTTCCACCCTTATAAATCAATTGAGTACCAGAGGAAATTGCTGCTGAATCCACTAGATGAAAAGGATTTCAGGTGGTAATATATTAGCAGAGTTATTTCTGATTCCTGTGAACCACAGCAGAAAGGAGCCTGTAATAAAGTAGTTCTGCATTCACTTATCACCAAGAACAGCCTAGGCAGCTAACCTAAGGTACTGCTGACTAAAAAGATAATGTCTTGAACTACTGTAATACAAGGTACCAAAATTTAACAGGTGTTCTCTTAAGGAAATTTGCTTCTTGGAAGGTATCTCTAGTCAGACCGATCTTGAAGCTGGAAGACTGTACAAAGCTCAAAACCAAGCCATAATAATATCAATAACAATGATGACAATGGCAATAACAACAACAACAAAACAAGAACAACAACAATAATAACCCCAACCCCCCCACCCCCAAGCTACTTTCAGCCTTTTTCCTCACAAGATTGTATGTTTTGACACACTTCCATTATTTAATGTCCTGTCGGAAAAATTCAAGGTAGTGCCACAATCCTGGTCTTCAGACAGATTAAATACATTGCACTGATTCTCCATTGTTGGAGCAAATGAAGTTAAGTTTCTAACTGACTGTTCAAATGGGTAGCCACCTGCTTTTTAGAAGAAGGAAAGAGTTACTTTACTGTCTGATATGTGATTTTGCTCTGCAAGCTCTTTGACTGTAGCCAAAAATATAACTAGAGTTACACAGATACAATTATTCAAAAGTACTGTCAATATTGAGAAATTAAAGTGTTTTTCAACATATCAGTCATAATTAGGATGGTTTTCAACTAATCAAGTATATTACATTTTCTTTTTCTCTGCTGATGCTTAGCTTTAAAAGGTTTCCTTGCATTTTTTCTCTTGGAACACTTGGGGTAACTTCATGTGTTACTTCTCATAAAATAAATAGAACATTGTCACTGAGTGATGGCAATAAACTGTGGTATCTATGATATGGAAAAAAGTCAAAGGTGTTTGCAATCTTTGAAGAGGACAGGATACATGAAAGGCACAGAGAAGTGGTAGTAACTGTTGTATTTTTTTGTTTTACTTGAATCTCCTACATGAAATTTAAATGATATAATGAAAATTTGTCACATTTTGAGGAACTAATTTATTGGGTCTAAAAAGGTTATTGGGGTAAAAAATTGTGCTTGCTATGTCAAATGTAAAGTGACACACATGATTGTCATGACTCAAGAAGAAGATTTAGCCACATGCTTTTCAAGCTGAGGGTATCTGTCAAGAGAGAAATTTTGCTGTTGAGGAGTTAGGTTGATTTTGGAAAATGCAAATGCAAAACTCCTTGCTTTGAAATACAGGCCATTTCATTTGTGCTTTACCTCTGGACAAGCGTGCTGATTCATGTTTGGGTTTCAGACTTCAGAGATGCTGTTCAGAACTGATAGATATGGAGCTTGAATCCATTCTTTATCCCTTGCTGTGAACTTTCTTAAGGTTAGACAGCACTGCTGGAGGCAAGGTCAGGATCATTCACCATGTGTCTAAGAAACCATGAGATGCCAGGCAGTGACCTTTGGCTTAGCTGTTTTTGAGCAGTCCTTGTGAAGAGAAATAGTAAATAACTTCTGTGAAAATGAAAGTTGTTTTGGCGTTATTTTATGTGGGGTTTTTGTGTGTTTTTTTTGTTTGTTTGTTTGAGATTTTTTTAGACAGTATCAAGTTCTTTAAAGAGAAATCAAGCAATAAAGCCGTAATTTTAGTTTTCCATAAAATGGATGAAGCAGTTTTTTTCTTACGATATACTGGCAAACACCTTTGGCCCAATGCTTCATAGGTTTTAGAAAACCTAAGGCCATTTCTCCTTGCATTTTGTCATCTGGTTTTGCATCTGTAAATATGGGAAAACTTCTTCAACAAAAAGTGAGATATCAGGACTCTTAATTTGTGAGAATATGTGTGATAGATGCAACTATTTCTGCAAAAAGTATGATGTGCTTCTGATTGGGAATTTCCACCTGCAAAAGAGACTTCTGAGCCCACTTGTTAAAAACGTCCTGGGAAGAGAGCTGTTGTTGATGCTTTTTTGAAGGTGGAAATAGCTGCTGGGGAGCCTTTTGAGTAAATATGTAATGAAGCTGATGCTTTTCCTGGAAGTCTCCTGGCATATGTAGTTCACAGTACTTGGTTTTTGGCATACAGAAAACTGCTCCCTTGGAAGCTGAGCAGGATTGCAGTGACCTAGCAGAGGCTTGTTTTGGCAGATTTTATTTTTATAGGAACACTTGGAAAAGATGTGATAAATTAATTTCCTAGGAGTAAGATCCATCTTGAAGTATGGGCAGCTATTTTCAACTCAGAAATAGAATCATGCATCTCTTTTATTTTTTTTTGTGGCTCTAGATTCCTTTAGCATCTTAGTAGTAGGCTGTTTCAGAGAACAGCTTTCACTTTCAGAAAACTTATGCAAAGAGCAAGTTGTGGCAATGTTAATATTTCTTTTGAATCTTTTTTATGCGTACCTCTTTTGAATAAAGATACTTGTTTCCAGTTGCACCCTTTAAAGAAAAACATTTCGACTAATTCTTTTGAAATATTTCTCACATGGTTCAAATAAGTCTTTGATTTGTAAGATAAGATTTGATAAGTATTGATTGATATGTGCTTTAAATCATATTGCTGATTCCAGATAGTACAGAAGTCTGGCTTTTATGGTTGCTGGTGGCTTTTGGATTTGGTTTGAGTTTTTTGGGTTGTTTGGGGTTTTTTTTTTGTTGTCATTAGATGTGTTTTGTTCCTAAAATGGCTTATGTTGCTTTTAATATTTATTATGTTTTTCCACTAGAAAGCTACTTGTTTGTCAAGAAATTATGAATTGAAACTATATAAAAATCATATACAAGGTTGTAATTACTAAGTGTTGTTATTCATGTCAGTATTTAATAAGGGCAATATATCTGACTTAAGTAAACTTTTACATTAGGTGTTAGTACACTTTAGAAACAGGGTTATGTATGCCATGCACACCTTATATAGATACGTGTAAGTAAAACTGCAGTAAGTTTTTTTTCTTTGGGCTGCCTGGTTGTGTTTCTTGTGTCTTTATATCATGATTGAAGTTTTAGAAAAAAAAAATCACGTATGTAGATGGATGCTTCAATTCATAGTTTGTTTTTTTTTTTTTTTGAGGTCTTAAGTCCAGAAGAGATGTAAAATCATCTAGTCTGACCAGCAGGTCATAACATTTCATAGAGCCATCCAAGTTTTGGGCCCCCAAATCTGTTTACAGAATGATATATGCACTGTTTTCCCTAATATAATGCATGCCATATTGTAATATGTAATATTCACCAAATAAAACTCCATTCTTGCCTTTTGGTACCAGTAATTACTCTAGTAGTATCGAGTGTTCAGCAGATTTTCTAAATAGGTTCAATTATGATATATTCATATATTGCTTCCCCTTAAACAGCAGGCCCTGTTTCTGCCTTCAAAAGTTCTAGCAACTCTATTTCGCACCAATGCTAGTTGTAGTCAATCAATATGTATTTCTTTCATAATTTCCCTTAACTAGCATGTCAATATATTCATTTCCTTTAGTTATAGAAGTCCCTTGTTTCCAGTTGGGTTTTAAAATATTC